ACTTGGGGTCAGAGAGTACATAGGATTTTTCTTTAACAGCACCGGTTTTCTGGGCCCACGGTGGAAACAGCTAAGTTAAAGCCTCTTCTGTAATGAGAGTCAGGGCACTGGGTAGTCATTGTTCTGAGAGTCAGCGCCTGCTGCAGGCTCTGCTGCTGGGGCCCTGGGAGCTCGGCCGGTGAGGTCAGACCCACCCCCAGTGACAAAGCCCCTTCCACGGCTGTGCAGGAGACACGTACACACTTTGTAAAAACAAGTTATGTGGGGGCATTGGTTCATGTCTCTGTAAGGGAAATTACATTACAAAGGCGCATACAATTGCAAAAGTAGAACTTGCAGTATAGTAAGTAACATTTTTAAAAGTGGGAGCTTCTCCCTGTAACCAATTAGAATGCCCTTTTACACTTGTTTCTCACAAAGTCCCATACCCAAAACAACAAACTGGAAATTCCACCAGATATAAGAAGATATTGTGATTGAGACTCTTGTAATTCTTTTTAAAAATATAAATTTGTTGTTTTTATTGATTTTAGGGAGAGTGAAGGGGAGATGAAGAGATAGAAACATCAGTGATGAGAGAGAATCATGGATTGGCTGCCTCCTGCACGCCCCTTACTGGGATCTAGCTCACAACCCGGGCATGTGCCCTGACCAGGTGGGAATTGAACCAGTGACCTCCTAGTTCATGGGTTGATTTTCAACCATTGGGCCACACTGGCTGGGCAAAACTATGCCATTCTTTTCAGACCTCCCGGTCTCACATTTTAAAATTTTGTTTGAAATTGTTATTGTCGTTCCTGGCTGGTGTGACTCAATTGGTTGAGTGTCATCCCATGCACTAAGAGGTCACTGGTTCCATTCCCGGTCCGAACACATGCCCAGGTTGTGGGTTCCATTCCCAGTAGGGGTTGTGCAGAAAGGAAGCCAATCAATGTCTCTCTCTCTGTCTCTCTCTCAAAAAAAAAAAAAAAAAAATCAATAAAAACATATTTTTAAAATTATAAAAAATGTTATTGTGGTAAGACCAGTTAACCTGGGATCTATATCCTTAGCAGATTTTTTTTTTTTTGTGTGTGTGTGTGTGTGTGTGTGTGTGTGTTTGCAATTTTTAAAAAGTATGTAACTCATTGTTACCTAGAGGCACAATTCTGTGAAGCAGATCTCTGGAACTTATTTATTTTGCTTAACTGAAATTTTATATCCACTGATTAGCAACTTTCCATTTCTCCTCCTTTATCCCCTGGCAATCATCAATCTATTTTTTGCTTCTATGAATTTGACTATTTATGTGTTTTGGGTGTTTTTTTTGGGTGGGGGGAGTTGACTATTTTAGATACCTCATGTACGTGGAATCATGCATTACTTATGCTTCCCTGCCTAGCTCAAAATTTTAAAATATCATTTTTTTTCTTGATAATATAAATTCACTTATTGTGGAAAACTTGAAAAATACTAAGAAGGAGGAGGAAACAAACAGTCCCACATCACCGAGAAAACCTTCGGCCACAGTTCGGTATGTTTTCAGATTGCCCATCTTATGCTGGCCCCTTACGTCATCCCCTCCACACTTCTCCCCTCCAGCCTCCCTCTCCTCAGGCCCCCTCCCCAGCAGGCTTCTCTCCCTTCCACACCGCAGCTCCTCCTGTGACGGGCCTGGGCACAGCGGTGCTAGTCCTCAGGCAGAAAATGTTCCTGCTCGCTAATTAACCCTGCTTGTCCTTCAGATTGCAGCTTAGTCATCACATCTACACGGAAGTTTCCTGCTAATCCTCCCAGCCTCACCCACCCAAGTACACACAGTTTCACCCTCTTATATACTCTCATTGCACCTTGAACCTCTGAGTTTTGCTGATTTTTGGTTAATCCTTACCCGGGGATGTTTTCCCATTGCTGTTTAGAGAGAATGAAAATGGAGGGGGAGTGACTGAAGAAATCTCGATGTTAAAGAGACACATGGATTGGTTGACTCCTGCATGCATCCTGACCAGGGCCGGGGGTCTAGCTTGCAACTGAGGTACAAGGAATTAAACCCAGGACCTTTTAGTCTGCTGGTCAAAGCTCTATCCACTGAGCCAAATTGGCCAGGGCCACCTTGAACCTTTGTAGCATGGGCCAAAGGAGTAAGCATATGGGTATGTGTTTTGTGTTTTTTTCTCCGAGGCAGACATGAGCACCAAGATGGGCACACTCTGCCTATTTTGCTCCCCAATTTACTCACAGCACCACGGACCATAAATGGACTTGTACGTACACATTTCCCTCATGTACATGGCAGCTTTACAGATCTTTAACCATATTTCTGATCACCGTTTGACAGTAAGTTTCTATAATAGACACGTGTATTTGTCTGCCAGGGCTGCCCTAACACAATGCCCAGACTGGGAGCTTGAGCAATAGAAATTTATGTCTCACAGATCTGGGGGTGGGAAGTCCAAGATCAAGGAGTCAGCAGATGTGGTTTCTTCTGGGGCTCCCTCCTAGGCTTAGCGACAGACACCGCCTCACTGTGTCCTCACATGGTGTCTCCTGTGTGAACATGTCCTTGGTGGTCTCTGTGTGTCCAAATTTCCTCTTTTATCGGGACTCCAGTCAGACTGGATGAGGGCCCACCCAATCTTTAAAGTTCCAGCACCAAATGAGGTCACATTCTGAGTTTCCCACATGGGGCTTCAATATGTGAATTGGAGGGGAGAGACACAACTCAGCCCATTACAACACTCAACCGCTGGATCCAAGGAGTAGGATATTTTAATCTTCTGACACCTTTTGCCAATGGCTTACTGGGAAGGAGTGTCCATTTATAGTCCTACCAGCCAGGAATCACAGTCCTGTCTCTCTCCATTTTTGTCACTTCTTAGCATCATTAAGAAACATTATTTTTATTTTTGCTAACCCGAAAGGCAAAATTGTACATTATTTCATTTAAATAATTGTTGATGACTAATAAGCACAAACAATTTTTATCATTTGGCATTTCTTTTTTTTCATTCTTTATATATTTATTAATCCAATAGATATTTAATAAACTCATCCTGTGAATAAGGCAAGGTGCTGCATGAGACTGGGATTTCAGCAGAGAATGAAACATAGCCCTTGATGTCATGGAGATACAAATTAATGGAGAAGAGAGACATGTTACAAAGTGACCGATTACATTTGTGATGAGTAGGGTAAAGAGGTAGGAGTGCCCAGGAGAACATCTAACAGGGACCTGGACCGCTCAGGGTGGCGGGAAAGGCTCTCTGGGGATATGCAGTTCCAGTGCTGACTGGAGGATGATTAGCTATTAGTGAGGCAAAGGTGGTGGGTGAGGAAACAGGAAGAAAGAACAAAGGGAAACAAAGGGTATAGTGGTAGAAGGCAAGGGAAAGAGTGTTTTCAGAAGAGCAAATGTGTTGAATGCTACTGAATTAATCAAGATCAAAATGTGCACAAAACTTGGCAAAACTGAGACCAATATCATAACCGAAATTAGTTGTGGATACAAAAGTTTGAATGGAGTGGGTTGGGTAGTGAGAAAAATTGGGAGAGCAAGTGTCATAATTCTAAGAAGTTTGATTTCTCTGAAATATTATTCTGTGATCATTTTCCAATTGATTTGACACTTATGTCATTGTATTACATAATTTCTATGTTTTTCTTATATACGTAAGATAAACTCTGTATTGTCAGGATATATATATTTTTAATATGTTTTATTGATTTTTTACAGAGAGGAAGAGAGAGGGATAGATAGAAACATCGATGAGAGAGAATCATCAATCAGTTGCCTCTTGCACATCCCCTATTGGGGATGTGCCCACAACCAAGGTACATACATGCCCTTGACTGGAATCGAACCCGGGACCTTTCAGTCTGCAGGCTGATGCTCTATCCACCGAGCCAAACCGGTTTCGGCTGTATTGTCAGGATATTATTAAATACTAGAGGCGCAGGGCACACAAAATCATGCACGAGTAGCTCGCTTCTGCTTGCCTCAGCTGGCTGCCCTGTCCATTGCTTTGAGAGCCACCACTCACAGGCCAGGGCAGGGGGAGGGAGTGAGTCACATCAGTGCACCTTCTGGTGACCGGTCTTTGGTCGTTACAGTGTTATGACCACTGGGTTTTTATTATATAGATTACTAACATGTAGCACATGTTTTTTGGTTTTTGTCTACTATTTAAGTTGCTTTTGATGCATATTAGCTTTTTTATTTTTGCATAGTTAAATTAAAATTTTTTTTCATTCTGATTTATTTCATTGCTCTTCTGCTTAGAAATTTCTTCTTTGGTGCTAACTTCAGCAGCACATACTAGGTGTACTAGTTAATAATGCAGATTTCTTTCAATAGATGGAGTTATACATGTTAATATATATGCAATTTGATATGTATGTTATTTTGTTGTATTGACAACAAGCTTCAAAACTTCATATGTCAAATTTTCTGAAGGTGTTAACATTATAGATATTTTTACACTTAAAAATGTTGAATTTTGTTCCTAAAAAAGAGCATTTGCGGGAAGTTTTAATTCATTACTTTATTTTGAAGAAAAGTGCTACTGAATACTTTGGGAAGCTTATGGTGAATGTGTTCATCTCAAGATACTTGTGAATTCTGTTTTAAATGGTTTAAAAGTGATGATTTCAATGTGAAAGACAAAGAACATCCAGGGCACCTGAAAAAGTTTGAAGACCAAATTTCTTCTTTGTACAGAAATCACATATTCATTTTTGTATTATTTCTTAAACATGTATGGTTTCATTAAAATTTGTTATAATTTTTGAATTTATTTATACATACCAATTCAAGGCTTTGAATGCTTCATTATATTGCCCTAATGGTGGAGGAGCAAGATAGCTAGTCTTGGGATGTTCTACTTAATGTTTTAACCAATTGATTCTATTGCTTTATTGTAGAAGAAGGGTCATACTGATGAAAAAGATAAAATTTTAGTTCAACCTAATGTTGTTTTGTTAGTAACTTATGGTTGTTCTGTCTCTGAGCTAATTTCACTCAGTCTCTTTATATTGTAAACATTTTTATTCTATATTCCCAGTTTCCTGTGCTTCCCAGCGTCACATCACATGACAGCCATCCTAGAAGGCATTCTCATGAGGACCAGGGATTTCGATGCCATACCCACATGAAGGATTACAGAAAACACTCACAGGATGGGCCATTCAGGGACCCGCTGGAATCAAACAGAAGATTCCATTCCAAAACTCGGGCATTTTCAGAGTCCTTTGAGCAACAACTGTGCTTTAGAACCAAACGTTCTGTGTCTTTGGTATGTAACAGAGTTATTGAATATTTAAGCGAGTTTAGAAAAGGAAACCCAAAGGATTTTTCCTCCCCATACTTGTGGAGAACAAATCTAACATTTTCATTTATAGCTCATTGATGAGATCTTTGAAAAATGACACTCAGTTTTACTGTACATAGCTCAGATGTACATAATTTTAAATTGTTTTTATTGAAGGCATCTGGTGTAGGAAAAATTTCTGGAGGACCATTAGTGGAATGTTTTTGTTATGGAGGTTCTCCAGTTCTTTGAGACTGCTTTCATTACCCTTATTATAAACCAGAGGCCCAGTGCACAAATTCGTGCACAGGTGGGGTCCGGCCGATTAGGGTAGGGGGGGGCCAATCAAGGATGGGTCTGGCTGGGGTGAGGGATTGTGGGGAGTTGGCCAGCTGTCCCCGCCCCCTGTTTGAATTCCTGGTTGAACTCCTGGTCAAGGAGCTAATTTGCATATTAGTCTTTTATTATCCTATCTAATAAAGAGGGAATATGCTAATTGACTGCCCCACCCTCAAATATGGCAGCACCCTCAGCCAATAACAGGGAATATGCTAATTGACTGCCACACCCTCAAAGTTGGTTGTGCCCAGATTCACAAGATGGTGGCGCCCAGTCCCCTTAGCCCTGCCTGCCTTCGGAGTCCCCCTGTTCCCTAGTCGCCCAGGGCCAGCTTAAGGTACAGGCAAGCCTCTGATGGTGGCTGCCCAGCCGCCCAGGGCTGCCCGAGGCTCAGGTAACAAGTCCAGCCAAGGCTTGCACTGCCAGCAGTGGCAGCAGCAGAGGTATAATGGGGCGTTGCCTTCCCCTAATTTTCAGGTCACCTTCTGCCCCAAGGGCTCCTGGACTGTGAGAAGGGGCAGCCCCCCCCCCCTCCAGTGCATGAATTTTTGTGCACTGGGTCTCTAATATAAATAATTGTGATTCATTCTCTGTGTACTATTTGGAGAAGAGAAGAACTGCTTCTATTATACTTCTCCTGTGCAGCATTTAATCCAGTAGCAAGTAGTCTGCGATGCCCTGTTCCCTTGAAGTTTTAAAAAGCATTTGGAGGGAACTCTCTGGTCACTATCTACTAGTAGTAAGTTTCTAGGAGTAGGGATGACCCAGGTGCTCACAGTGCCCTTGGGGGGGGGGGGTCTCAGTAAAGAACAAGGGAGACAGGCATGAAAATGGGGGAATAATAGAAGCTCCATTGGTGATGCTGAGCTTGCATCATAAAGTAATAAGGTAGAAATCAATTAATTTTGGGGTACAATTACTTTGGGGAAACTTGCTCACTGAGTGGTCTTGAACAAAATACTTTTTTTTCGGTGTGTGGTCCTTTGCTGTTTGTTTTATTTTGCAAAGCAGAAATGACAATATATTCTGCCATAAAGTAGTCAGAGCAAATAAATGAACCTAGGTGTATTACCATCTGGTTCTTCAGCTACGCTCTGTGCACAGCAAGGGCACTCCGGTGTTTCCTACCTCATTGTCCATCTGAGCACAATGCTTTCTGCCTAGCAGTAATGGCTGTTGGGACTGTACTGTGTGTCTTTGCCTCACTTTTTTCAGAGTAATCCTGCATATCTATGTTCCACCTTCAGAAAGCTGCTCTCTTCACCTGATCATAAGAGGAATACAGAAAGAAAAATAGTAAACAGCTGTCACTTATCAAGAGCTCCTGTTTTATCTTTTCTTTATATTGCTTTAATAAAATATGGTTTCAGACTTAGAGCAATTTTATAAGAATAGTACAAAGAATACACTTCTCATTATATTTCCTCCAGATATTAACATTTATCATATTTACTATACTCTCTTTCTCCTTCCCACTCCCAAACAAGAGCACAAGAACTTTTTTTTTTTTTTTCATATAAACACAGTACAATAATGAAGTTCAGGAAATTACCACCAATGCAATACTTTGTATCTAATCTATTGACCTTATCCCTGCTTTGCCTCTTGTCCTGATAATATTTTTTTGTAGGGAGATTTCAGATCACGCATTGCAAGCAATTCATTCTCTTTAATCTATTTTTTTTTTTGGCTACAGTTCCTCAGTTTTCACTTAGCTTTTGTAACACTGTCATCCAAAGAGTGCAGGGTAGTTACTTTTAAGAATGGCGTTCAATTTGGGTTTATCTGATATTTCCTCATAGTTAGATTAAGATTATGATCTTTTTGCAAGAATAAAGCAGAAGTAAAGGAATTTCTGTTTTAAAACTACAAGTTAAAGTTACTAATTATATTCATTCAGGAAAGTTAACTGCCTTAAATCCTTTCTGTAATAAGGTAAGATATAAATATATTTTGAAATATAAACACTTCTTTGTTGATTCTAATGGCCTCAAATTGTTTTTCACATAGTCTTATAAAATTGCTTAAGTGAAACCATTTGCTAATATTATAAGCCCTGAAAGTGTGTAAATGTGTTTTTTTTTAATTGAAATATTTATCGCATTATTCCTAAAACATAACACGTTGCTCCATTCATGTCACAAGTTCTTTCTTTCATTTTTATGGTTTTTTAAAATATATATTTTTATTTATTTCAGAGAGGAAGGGAGGGGGAGAGATAGAAACATCAATGATGGGGGAGAATCATTGAGTGGCTGCCTCCTGCATGTCCCCTACTGGGGATCTAGCCTGCAACCCAGGCATGTGCTCTGACCGAGAATTGAACTGTGACCTCCTGGTTTGTAGATCAATGCTGAACCACTGAGCATGCGGGCTGGGCCCAAGTTCTTCCTTTTGAATGCCAAGATAATCAAGGCAGCATTTTCAATTTTTTTTTTTTTTTTTTTTTTACTCAAGAATTCTTTTCATGGGTATCTATATATATAAAAGCCTAAGCAACTAGCTGGCTGGCCAACTGGTTGACCAGCTGGCCAATAGGTATGACCCGCACTAACCACCAGGGGGAAGATGCTCAATGCAGAAGCTGCTGAGCTGTGGTCACTTGGCAGTGGTGGTTCTTGGGTAGCACATCTGGAACCAAGGAGGAGGGAGCCCGATTCAGGGATGTGTCACCCAAAAACTGCCCTCTCACAATCCAGGACCCCTAGGGGGATGTCAGAGAGCCAGGCTTGGCCTGATTCCCATAGGCCAGGCCAAGGGACCCCACCAGTGCATGGATTGGGCTTCTAGTATATTATAATAGCTAGAAATCTGCTAGGAATTTACAAAATTATTTCAATTTTCATATGATAAAATATTTATAGTAAATAATTTTAAATTAAATATTTTCTCTTGTATCAGTTTTAATGAGTATATTATAAAGTTTATCTTAATACAAAATTAAAAATTCAGAGCACATACAGATATTTTAACACTTTTTTCTATTTCACAACTGACACACCTTTTCAAACCTAACTACATTAAAAAGTGTGACTTGTCAGTGAATTTAAAAATGACATTTCTTGCTGAAACCGGTTTGGCTCAGTGGATAGCGTGTTGGCCTGTAGAATCAAGGGTCCCAGGTTCGATTCCGGTCAAGGGCATGTACCTTGGTTGTGAGCACATCCCTGGTGGGGGTGTGCAGGAGGCGGCTGATAGATGTTTCTGACTTTCTATCCTTCTCCCTTCATCTGTAAAAAAAATCAATAAAATGTATTTTTTTAAAAATAAAAAAATAAAAATAAAAATTACATTTATTATCTTTTGTTTGGGCACCAGGTGCATACTAATTTGTAGATTTAAATTCTGTATCTTTTAGCATCAAAAAGATCCAGAAACTGCTTTTGTAGCTGATTATGACAAACAACAACAAATGACTTTTCACTATCATTTTGATACTGAAAAACTCAATTGGCTTATATTGATAATTTTCACATTTTGTTTCTAAGTGAGATAAGAAAAATATTTCAGGTCATTATTTCTGAGCATTTCTCAGTCTTTATTCTCAATAAAGGAAAGGCCAAAGTGAAAATAATCATCACTATATTTTCTTTTTCTTTTTTAAGTATCATAGTAGAGAAATTCATGACTGCTAAATATAAATTTGATCAGACTGATGGATCTAATACAATCGATGCACCTAATGAAAATAATCTGGAGGCAAATTTATGGAGCTAGTTCAGTTGTTAAGTTTCTCTTAGTTTGTATCTCAGCCTCATCACTTGTCTGGCGAATGGACTCATATGGATCGAAATGAAGCGATCCTGGTACATCACACAAACAGTTTACATTGCAGAGTGACTGACACCCCTGTGGGCTGAGCCGGACCTTGCTCATCTCACTGCCGCTCACCACTGTGCCAGTTCACTTGGTAGGCATTTAGGGGTTCCCGAGCGTTTCTAGATCAGACGGAGGAGGGGAGAACAATGGTTTTATTTCTTTTACTTTAAAAGAGAAAAGTGTAAACAGTTATCATCATCACCACATTTATCAATGTTCCTGTTTTGGTCAGTAATCCCTTTGAAAGGTCTTCCCTGACCATGGAAACTAAAGAAGCAGCCCTTCCTCACAACGGTTCCCAATCATATCCTCCTGTTCATAGTTATCATTGCACTCATCACTATTTGTTATTCTCTTGTTTCTTCTTAGTCTTATTGTGTGCCCCTCCACCTAGGTATAAAATGTGAGAAGTGGGGTCTCTGTAGTTGGTGCTGTATCCACTGACCCCAGTGAACACGGGGCCCTGGGTAACCTGCTGGGGACTGTTGACGATTTGGGTGTCATTTTGCCACTTCAGTCTTCACGAAGTTCTCAGATTAAAACTAGTGCAAACCCTACTATTAGTATATTTTAAGGGAGTGGACACAGGGAGGTTAGAATCATTGCATGTATGATTCACTTGCCACATTCCTTTTCAGTTTCGTGCTGTGAAATCACCTCTCTCCATGTGTCAGAGGCAAAGAGTCAGTCACGTGCAAGCTGAGTTTCTTCCATAGACCTTCACAGGCCCCCTATTCCTTTTATCCATGACTAAAGCCCTTAGCACCACCCTTAGGCTCGTGCTAATTTATTATAAGAAACTAAGATGCCGACGAGATCGGTTTGGCTCAATGGATAGAGCGTTGGCTTGGGGACTGAAGGGTCCCAGGTTCAATTCCGGTCAAGGGCATGTGCCTTGGTTGTGGGCATATCCCCAGTACGGGGTGTGCAAGAGGCAGCTGATCAATGACTCTCTCCCATCAATGTTTCTAATTCTCTATCTCTCTCCCTTCCTGTCTGTACAAAATTAATAAAATATATTTAAAAAAAAAGAAAGAAAAAAAGAAACTAAGATGCGAAAATCTGCTCAATGATCAGGCCTTTCTTCATTTCTGATAATTAAGAGAAATGGCGGAACGTTATTAGCCACCTGCACTTTCAAGCTTTTCTGATCCTTCTCTTCCAGGGACCCGAGAGCAGAAAGGACAGAAATGAAAGAGAATGCCTGCGGATGGAGACGAGATCCCGTAAGAAGGTGGAGGAAAGGAGGAGCTCTGGGAGGGAAGAGCATGCAGAAGCACACACGGTTCCTCTCTTGGAGCAAGGACCCAAATAGTACTTTGTTTCCACGTTAGGACGACAGAGGCTGCTGTGTTTTTTGGCTTCTGTATACTATGCTTCGGTGGTAGCTGTAAAATACCGTCTGCGATGCTGAGTGATGGAAGTGGGCGCTGGTTCCACTGCTCTCCAAGAAGACATCCTATCCAGCTCTGGCATCCGAGTGGAGAGTTTGATCTGCTTTGTTGTCCTTTTATGGGAAACCTATATAATAAAAGGCTAATATGCAAATTGTCCCTTCAACCAGGAGTCTGACCAGGGGGCGGTGTGGTTGGCCAACCAACGGTGGTCCCTTCCCTTAACCGGCCCTGCCCTCCTATTGGTCCCTTTCTCTCCATCTGGGCGGGGCCAGCTGCCAACCTCCCACATCTCCTCCCCCTGGCTGTTTGGCCTCATCAGCCACTATCCTGGCAGGGCAGCTGGACACCACCCAGGCATGAATTTGTGAACCGGGCCTTTAGTAAGAAGGATGAAAAGTATTTTAATAAAGTAATTCTTGGAAATGTAAAGAAAGATATTTAAAGAGCCACCCACACTTCTTCACATTAAATAATCTTAAATGTCATTGGTGTGACTCTTGGTTTACTTCCTTATTAGAAGTAATTATGTAAGTGCTAGGTGTTCAGTGCACAAAATTGTGCATGGGGGATGTCCCTCAGCTTGGCCTGCACCTTCTCCAATTTGGAACCCCTCAGGAGATGTCTGACTGCCAGTTTAGGCAGATGGACATCCCTCTCATAATCCAGGACTATTGTCTCCTAACTGCTCGCCTGCCTGCCTGCCTGATTGCCCCTAACCACTCTGCCTGCCTGCCTTCTCGTCCCTAACTGCACTCCCTTGCTGGCCTAATCACCCCCAACTGTTTCCCCCCTCTCACACTGTCCCCCCATCAGCCTGATCACCTCCAACTGTCCCCCGCTGGCCTGCTTACCCCCAACTGCCCCCCTCCCCCTGCTGGCCTGCTCACTCCCAACTGCACCCCTCCACACACACACACACACACACACACACACACACACCCGCCATCCTGCTCACCCCTAACCACCTCTGCCTCAGCCCTGCCACCATGGCTTTGTCCGGAAGGATGTCTGGAAGATCTCCCGGAAGGTCTCCTGGTTTAATTAGCATATTACCCTTTCATTAGTATAGATGTCTAATGCCCAGCGTTTAATAAGGACTGGTAGTTAACATGCCAAGTACTAGACTGATATTGATTTCAGAGAGGAAGGAAGAGGGAGAGAGAGATAGAAACACCAATAATGAAAGAGAATCATTGATCGGCTGCTCCTGCATGCCCCACACCAGGAATCCAGCCCACAACCTGGGCATGTGCCCTGACCAGGAATTGAACCATGACCTCCTGGTTCATAGGTCAACCCTTAACCACTGAACCACTAGTCTAAAGTCTTTAAAGCATTACCTAGAACAATCCTCACCACTCTAAGGTGGGACCTATTCCTCTCTTCACCTGCTGGCTGAGGAAACTGACGTTTAGGAAACATCAGGCCTTCACAGGTGTGGTGGCAGAGTTAGGAACAGAGTTTAGTTCATTCTAACTTGTGCTCCTAACCCAAGGCAGGGCTTCCATTTCCCCTTAGCAGTGGGTCCTGACGCAGTATTTGAGAACTGAGCAGGAGTGGGAGGAAGTTACCGTTTTGATTACATGAGTGGAGACTGATTCTCTGAGGTCTGCTGTGTGCTCTTGGTTGTACCTTTATGTGGTCATATTCTTTACCATTTACTTATTAATTATTTAAAAAATATTTTATTGATTTTTTACAGAGAGGAAGGGAGAGGGATAGAGAGTTAGAAACATTGATGAGAGAGACATCGATCAGCTGCTTCCTGCCCATCCCTTACTGGGGATGTGCCCACAACCACGGTACATGCCCTTGGCCGGAATCAAACCTGGGACCCTTCAATCCACAGGCCACTGAGCCAAACCAGTTAGGGCTATTTATTAATTATTTTTATCCTACATAATAAAAGCCTAATATGTTAGGTGTCCAACTGACAATTCAACCAGTTGCTATGACACGTAGTGACCACCAGGGGCAGATGCTCTGACTGATAGGTGAGCTTGCTTCTGGGGTCTGGCTGATTGGGAGTGGGTGAGATGGGTTGGACACACCCTAGAGCCCTCCCTTGGTTCCTCCCAGCCCTGATCTCCCTGGACTGGGCTTGGGCGAGACTGACCAGACATGCCTTCCCCAGGTTGCTCCCTGGCTGGCCAATCTCCTGAGATCCCTCCCCAGCCTCTAAAATATTTCTTTTAATTAATTTCCTTTCAATGTGCATGAATCTATGCACTGGTCCTCTAGTTTAAACAGAATTCTATCTAATAAAAGAGTAATATGCAAATTGACCATCACTCCAACACACAAGATGGCCTGCCCCCATGTGGACACAAGATGGCCAGCAGGAAAGGGCAGTTGGGAGGGACCAGGCCTGCAAGGGAGGACAGTTGGGGGTGACCAGGCCTTCAGGGAAGGGTAGTTGTGTCGGGGGGCAGGCCATACGGGATGGCAGTTAGGGGTGAACAGGCCTGCAGAGGAGGGCAGTTAGGGGCAAACAGGCTGGCAGGGGAGAGCAGTTAGGCATTAACCAGGCTGGCAGGGGAGTGGTTAGGGGATGATCAGGCTGGCAGGCAGAAGTGGTTAGGGGTAGTCAGGAAGGCACATAGGTGATCAGTTGGGAGCCAGCAGTCCTGGATTGTGAGAGGGATGTCCGACTGCCCATTTAGGCCCAATAAGATCGGGCCTATACGGGCAGTCGGACAGCCCTTAAGGAGTCCCAGATTGGAGAGGGTGCAGGCTGGGCTGAGGGACACCCCATACCCCTAGTGCACGAATTTCGTGCACTGGGCCTATAGTTGACATATAACACTATATTAGTTTTAGGTGTATAACATTTATAGAAATTGTGAAATGATTATCACAATAAGGCTAACATCCATCACCACACATAGTTACAGTTTTTTTCCCCATAATGAGAAGTTTTACGATCCACTCTCTTACCAATGTTCAATTATACTGAGTAACTACAATTGCCATATTGTCTATTACATCCCATGAATTATTTAAAAAGTATGGAACACTTTATAAATTTGTGTCACTTTGCTCAGCAGTCAGTCTTTTCTGTGTTATTCCAGTTGTAGTATACGTGCTGCTGAAGTGAGCATGTGTTTTACTTGTTTTTTCAGCTTTGTTAAGGTATAATGGACAAATAAAATTGTATGTATTTAAATTGTACAACACAATGATTTGACATATGTACACGTCATGAAATGATTCTGCAACCAGGTCAATTAGCACATTGAGGCCATATTCTATCACTACTTTTTTTTCCATAAAGGAAAAGATTCTAGCAGTCTCTAATACTCTTTTGATGTAGTCTTTGTCTCAGTCTTAAATCTTCAAATGCCCAACGGCAGCTAGTCTCTGTGTTGTAAAAAAGAGTGTCTCCCCAAACTACTTATAACTGATACTATAATTGATCAATTAGGTAAGACACAAACTAACTTTGACATTAACAGTAGAAAGAAGGAAAGGGAGAAGGCAAGAAGAGGAAAACAGAGAAAAGTAAAATAGTGATGATCTTTGACTTGAATTATTTCAATTTTCATACTGCTAACACCATCTATTTTGTAGCCTTTACACACAGTTTTATACTTGGTAAACACGTAAAAGATAACTGCGAGCTTTCTTTTTTTAAATATATTTTATTGATTTTGTACAGAGAGGAAGGGAGAGAGATAGAGAGTTAGAAACATCGATGAGAGAGAGTCATCGATCAGCTGCCTCTTGCACACACCCTACTGGGGATATGCCCGCAACCAAGGTACATGCCCTTGACCAGAATCAAACCCAGGACCCTTCAGTCCCCAAGCCAACGCTCTATCCATTGAGCCAAACCGGTCTCAGCAACTGCAAGCTTTCATCGGTGACATTTGTTTGGTATTTGCCACCAGCACGGGGGAGGATGGGGCCCGATCTGCCACCAAGGCCAGCGCTGTGCTGCAGTTGTGGGAAAGCAGTTGTCTCCGCAGGTTTCCTTCAGGGCTTCTCTGTCTTGTCAACCAAGTTCCTGGGGATGGTCTGCTCATTGGCTCTGGCCCCTATAGAAAGGTCTGAGAGAGGTGGTCCATCCGTGGGAATAAGAGCCAACGGAAGGAGTTTCCTCTGCCCAGTGGCTGGCTGGCTGGCTGAGACAGCTGCTACCTCCTACCCCAGCCAAGGCACCTGTGAAGGTTTTTCTGTTCCCTGGACTCAAGAATGGCAGTACCTGGAAAAATCATGATTAGGAATTTTATAATATATTTTATCAAACTGGGAGGAAGTCTATTTTCACTCTATTTTTAGCGTCATAGTACATGGAGGAAGGGAGACTTTCTGAAAATGAAGTTGCCAACTTATTACCTTATTTTCTTATATATTTAAAAATATATTTTTATTGATTTCAGAGGGGAAGGAAGGAGATAGAAACATCAATGATGAGAGAGAATCACCTTCTTTTTAAATTTTTTAAAATTTTTATTGATTTTTTTTTTTTTTACAGAGAAGAGGAGAGAGGGATAGAGTTAGAAACATCGATGAGAGAGAATCATCGATCAGCTGCCTCCTGCACGCTCCCACTGGGGATATGCCCTCAACCAAGGTACATGCTCTTGGCCTGAATCGAACCCGAGACCTTCCAGTCCACAAGTCGATGCTCTATCCCCTGAGCCAAACTGGTTTCGACAGAATCACCTTCTTTATATCACAAAATAACACTTCTATTAAAATTGTATTTGTAGATAATTTTTCCCTTTAAAATGTAAATTTTTAACTTATAAAATCAAAATCTGACACACTTTGAAATAATGTAGAAGTATGTAAAGTAGAAAGTGGCAGTCCTCTGGAAAAGCCCCTGTCAGAATTATGAACTTAATATGGTCAGTTATGGTCAAGGCACTCTGGTTTCTCTACTCTAGGGGGCAGAGTTGAGCTGACATTTGGA